TCCGCTTTATACTGATAAGTATATAAATATATATATATAAATAAATAAAGCTGTGTCAGTTTTTTAGGATTAGGGGTTATGAGGTAGTATCATGTAGAGCGGCGATCGGCTGTTTCTACCTTCACACATTTTGTGTTCCAACTAAAAAACAGTTTATGTTCCATTTAAATCTGCGTAAACTATGAAGCGGACGCAGGTTATGTTTGACATTTACTGTTACAAAACTAGTAGACACTATACATTTGATGTTTTCTATTCTGATTGACAACTAGAATTTATTTTTTAACTCACAACTACTTCAAAACTACGAAAGTACTTTAAAATGGTAGTTTTTATTTCCTGCGTAACGTTGAGCATTAAGGGTAATGGCAACAACTGGTGCACCCGTTGTCATGATAATATGACCGGGCGAAATGCTGTGTTGGGTGCCTTCGGCATGGTGTTTCAATGAGATAGCACTATAAAATCGGCATCTGAATGCGCTATCACAAGGAGGCAATAACCCCAACATACCCTAACTCCACCACACATACACTCATGCACGCATACATTGCACTCATGGATGCACATCCTCAAATGACCTTAGCTGTTAATAGGACGCTAAACAAGATAAAACCAAACCAAACCTCCTCCTCCTCCTCCTCCTCCTCCTCCTCTCCCAAATCTACAAAATTCGCATTCTCTATGTATATCTGACTCTGACACTAGGTAGGTAATATGAGTAGCAACACCATGTGCTTGGTCTTTCCTTATGTATACGGACTAGTGGAAACGTAAATACCAGAAAGCACGAGTTTAACAGGAGGAGGAATTTACAGCACGGGGTGTGATGGAGATTTGATAAATAGAGAGTTATGAACAATGAACAACGCATGTGTTACCATTAAAGAGTCTTAAGGGCCCGACAGCTACGCTCTTATTTGTATTTTACTCAGTTGTATCTCTCTTCAAAACAAAAAACCAACATTAAATGCGAACTTTTGATAATGTAGGTTGCCATGGTAACGTCATAAACGTAACTAACACTCATTATAAGTACAGGAATATGTTTTCAGTCTTTCAAATAAATCTGGGTTGCTGACAAAATTTGATCGACCAAATACGACACTAGTGTGTATTCTCTGCGTATAAAACACAGAAGAAAACCTCCGATTCTGCAGAGTATACCACATAAGTAGCATTTTACCACATTAGTAGCCTTTTACCACATAAGTAGCCTTTTACCATATAATTTCAGTTGGAAACAGCAGGTCCATCCTTGGTTTTTTTTAATGTTTCATAAACAGAAACAGGAAAAAAAAAACACTCCAGATTCTACAGGGGCCAAAATCAGTCGATTCGCATATGTGGTACCTATTTTGATATTTACATTTTGTAACATTGGAATTCATTTGATAATAAATAAATCCGTTAACAGAGTACAAATGGATAGTGTTGTTACACCTTGAAAACGAAAGGAGTAACCCCCGTGGCTTAATTGAGCAGAGTTAGCTCCCCTGTCTTCTTACAAAGCTGAAAGGATACAATCTGTCAACGGGGGGAAACCATCATCTTTCAGTCGTCTATCATCGACTTTATAGAGGCGAGATTTGACTGGACAATCATCTCTTGTTGGTTTAAGTATCGAAATATAAGGAATTTCATTTTACATTTTACAGCCCCTCCCCCAATGAGCAGGTGGCAAAACAGTTTACAAGTGGTCCTGGTGGAGAATCAAAACAGATAATGGTTTTGGTGATGGGAAAAATTAAAATCATTAGCAAGAGGCAATTACATTCAGGCATGGACTGACATCTTTTAAGTTTTTATGTCTATTTATATTTCTGTCCATCTGAAGGAAGCCATACCATTGTTGAGGTATATTAGTACGGTTTGAATAGGGGAAAGTAGGGAAGGAGGTAATAGCTGGATAGAATAATATCAGCAGTTCCGACCTAAGGATGCAAGGGATCAGGGTATTTCTTGGGGTGTTGTTGATGATTATGTGTTGCTTATAATGTGTTAAAAGAGGTTAACCTTGACAGGATTGCTGGTCCTTTCCATTGCAGGCCTACAGGAACCCTGCATATCACCAATTGATCTTCTTGATTGAATTTGAGGCAATATGCAAATAATGCTGAAGTATGAATCGCCACCTCAAGCTCTAGTAATTCGTCGTGGTGGCAATGCTATAGGTAGTTTATCCTTGATAGCATGTGTCCTTTAAGACCTGGAATTTCAAGTAAATCGGATACTCTCTGTTGCCTAGTTCCCTAACCATTTATTATATTGTTCCAAATACTTACAATTTAGTGGAGATAGGAAAGGCCAGGTGGTAATCTGAATAAAAACCAGAGTGCATATACATAGTAAGGTACAACTGTAGCCACTGGCAATTTGTCCAAAGGGGTGGGTGTATATATATATATATATGGTAGCAGTGTACAGTAGCGTACGGTGGCCATTGATGATATTTTTGTACATTGAATAACCCCTATAATATTACACGAATACGGAGGGAGAAAAAGAAGCCCAACGCCTCTTCTCGTCAGCATGTCTCTCATGTGATGAGTGAGTACCGAAGCGAAATCAACCGTGGGTATCCGACGATGACAGACTGCATAATAATGGACAACTGTGGTTTCCACCATCACAGATTTGGGGAACGGATTTTGAGGGACATGCTGACGAGAAGAGGCGTTGGGCTTCTTTTTCTCCCTCCGTATTCACCGGAACGAAATTCTTCCGAATTTATGTTCAAAATGATGAGAGATCGACTAAAGATTTAAAGTTTACGTATGACTTAACACAGCTGGCTGGTATTGATGCACTGGCATTAATTCCAAATCACTGCTTACCAAATATGTGCCACACTGTGGTTATGTTTAAATAGAAACAAACACGAGTAGATCACCTATATAAATTTTAGATTGAGCAACCATAATTTAGAAATCGAGGTTGGTCGAAATAAGAAGATCCTCGGCAACTCCCGACTATGCAAATGTTTTAGTACCTAATTGACTTCTTCATAAATATTGTCATCTAATGATACAAAACCTTTGCATGAACTGGGGCCTTCATTTACTTTACGGGACTTTGAGGTACCTGAACAAGTGAAGAGACTCAATGTTTTTATGAAGTTTCATCATTATTTCATAAATGAAGGCCGGAAATGGGCCTCTTTATCGAAAATTCGTCTGAATTATGGAAAACAGGCTTGTAGAATGCATAAATTGTTTCAGGTAAATGTTATCATTTGATTTGTTTGTTAATTGCTGTATTGCTATCGGTCCTGTATTTCTGGATGTATAAATGCAATAAAGTTGATTGAATGATTGTTATAAATATACACGTGTGTAACCGGGTGATGGTAACAGTCGTAAGCACAGCAAGGTAGTCGGGTCCAGTCAATTTATTTTTAGACTACAGTCGGTATGTGCGAGCTTATACACCAACAACATTACTCATCGAGGCGAGTGTGTAACCTGCTGTCAGCATTCAAGTTAGTATTGCGTCGTGCGTAAGAAGAATTGATCTTATCTTCATGTAAGGTTATGAGGAATATGCTCTCGTCTACATCCTGGCTACTGCAAGTGCTTTGTTATACTCGCATCAATCGTGTATCTAGGGTTGCTCTACTGAATGCATATTGCAGATGCTGATTTTTACCTATATTTTATGCTTCATTTACTTGGTTAAGAAGAATTGTTCTCATTTGTTGATTATACTTACATCAACCTTGTATTTTACACTTCCTTGAGTTGGTTAAGAAGTAGTGTTCTTTATCTTTATGTAAGGTTAAGAAGAATTACTCTCATCTATATCTTGTCTACTACAAGTGCTATGTTGATTATACTTGCATCAATTGTGTACCTAGGGTTGCTCTACAGAATGCATATTGCGGATGCTGATATTGACCTATAGTTTATGCTTCAATAACTTGGTTCAGAAGAATTGCTCTCATATATATTACCTTGTCCACTCAAAGTGCTATGTTGTTTAAACTTGTTTCAAGTGTGTGTTTGGGTTGCCCTACAGAATGTATATTGCGGACGCTGATATTGACCTATATTTTACGCTTCGTTGACTTGGTTAAGAAGAATTGCTCTCATATATATTACCTTGCCCAATACAAATGCTATGTTGATTATACAAAATAATTGTGTATCTAGGGTTTCTCAACTGGATGCATATTTCGGATGTTGATAATTACCTATATAGTTTATGCTTCATTATCTTGGTTAAGAAGAACTGCTCTCAACTGTATCTTGCCTACTACAAGTGCTAAATGTATATTGATTATACTTGCATCAATTGTGTACCTAGGATCTAGCTTGAACATTTTACAAATGACAGATTTTGTCATATTTATATATTTGAGGCGACAGATTTTGTCATATTTATTTATTTGATGTGACATATTTTGTCATATTTATTTATTTGAGGTGGCACAAACCGCCAAAAATTGTGGACGGTAACCTCTTGGTGACAAAGCCATGGCCACAATCGCCAAACACTTATACAATGTAGGTATCAGTTGTTGTTGACAATTTGTTTATGAATCTCATTATCTCTGATAATCGTTTACATGAAAATGTGATTTATTAATGCTACAATAGGCGCTCCTATTAAAGCAAATGTTACTGATTTAATTAAAGGTAGAATACACCTTCCGCAATTAATACAGAAAGCATACAAATGTAAATGCTTGATGTAATTTCGATGTATTTCATGTAAGACACGTTTATACATTAGGGGTCATAACAAGGATCAATAACTACTTAGGTTTATAAAACACATTGGTATAACAAAATGTTTCAGCAATGAAAATGGACAGAGTGTTTTTAAAAGAAAATGATCATTGCATGAATTTAGTCAATCCTCTTTGTAATAACTCGGATATGTTCAGTAGTTCAAGGTTATCAACCTTGAGGTTTTGTTCATGTTGCATGACAATTTCGACAACGACGTGACCGGCACGTATCGCACTATGTTTATAATCAATTGACTTTAATACTCACAAAGGGAGAGTCCGGGCTGTCCGAGGGTCAGAAGTATGCCGATCAGGACGATAGTCACTCCCTCCATTAGGGAGGAGATCAGATGCCGTGTAATGAATAATGGTTGTACAACATGTGAAACGCCAGTTTCGAATGCCACCAGAAAGTAATGTCCTAACGTGTAAGGACCGGTGTGACGTGCCCCACCATCTCGTAATATTTCACTCCCATTATTTTAGATCCTTCTATGTATTGGCGTACATCCGACAATTAAAACATCCGCTAACGTCACATTTCCTGCGAGTCACACCACATTTGAAAATAAATCTTACATAATCTCTCTCTCTCTCTCTCTCTCTCTCTCTCTCTCTCTCTCTCTCTCTCATAATGTTATACTTAACTTAAATTTGCCATCTTGTATATATTGAGCATTCCAAAGAGTAAAACAATAAATTTAAAACACGTGTTAATGTATCTACCTCACAATGGGAACGCAGTACATTTCAGTAAATATATACCGGGGTAATAGCACAACTACGCCTATGGACCTAATTGCTTTCAGATAAATAAGATAAGCAGATAAGCAATACAATCAATAAACACAGAAATGCAGAAAGTTTCGGGATTTTCTCTTATATGTATGCGGTTTTATTGAAGCCTAACTGTTTTGAATTAACATGAAGACATATACCTCACACATTTGAATGTATATGCCCTGAGGACCGACCAGTCCGTGGTATATACAAATGTGGGAATGTATGAGAAAAGAAAACATTTGTCACTTGATCACTCTCCTCTAAAATATTTACGAAACACAATAACACAATGATTTGGTTTCAAGTACAATTGATACAACACAGGCATATACTGTGTCCCGACGCACCATTACGGGGGACAAAAATACAAATTGCGTTGTAAGGTTTCCTTGTTGTAAGAGGTTTATTGAACAGAGAGAGCCCTGCATCCAGTGATAACACGAAATAAAGGTCAACAACCCACACAAAACTTATAGCTTAACGTGAGTGTACGTTTAAGTGTTTTAACTGACATGTGTAAAAAGACGGATGTACACCACTATCCCCGAAGTAATAGGAGGGTCTGACCATGTGCGGACAGAGTCAGTGTAGACAGTGGTAAATAGAAGGACGCACAACATTCTTCCCTATGTTAGAGGAGGGTCTGACCATGTGAGGACCGAGTCAGTGTAGGCAGTGGTAAATAGACGGACGCAAACCAATCTCCCCTAGGTTATAGGAGGTGTATATGATGACCGAGTCAGTGTAGACAGTGGTAAATAGACGGACCTTGTGATGATTGAGTCATTGAGGACAGTAGTGAACATCCGGACGTACACCACTCTCCCCTAGGTTATATGATGGTCTAACTATGTGATGAACGAGTCAGTGAAGAGAGTGGTAAATAGACGGACGTTCACCACTCTCTCCTAGGTTATATGAGGGTCTAACAATGTGAGGAACGAGTAAGTGAAAACAGTGGTTAATAAACGGACGTACACCACTCTCCCCTAGATTATATGAGGGTCTAACCATGTGAGGAACGAGTCAGTATAGACAGTGGTAAACAGACGGACGTACACAACTCTCCCATAGAGTATAGGAGGGTCTTACCATGTGATGACCGAGTCAGCGTAGACAGTGGTAAAAAGACTGATAAACACTACTCTACCCTAGGTTATAGGAGGTTTTGGTCAAGTAAGGACAAAGTCAGTGTAGACAGTAATAAGTAGACGGACGAACACCACTATCCCCTAGGTTATAGAAGGGTCTGACCATGTCGAAACCGAGTCGATGTAGACAGTGGTAAATAGACGGAAGTACAACACTCCTCCCCTAGGTTATAGGATGGTCTGACCATGTAAGGACCGAATAAGTGTAGACAGTGGTAAATAGACGGACATTCACCACTCTCCCCTAGGTCATAGGAGGCTCTGAACATGTGAGGACAGAGTCATCGTAAACAGCACTAGTGGTAAATAAACAGACTACACCATTCTCCCCTAGGTTACAGGAGTGTCTGACCATGTGCTGACCGAGTCAGTATGGACAGTGGTAAATAGACGGACGTACACCACTCTCCCCTATGTTATAGGAGGGTATGACCATGTGAAAACCGAAGCATTGTAGACAGTGGTAGTACACTGACGTACACTACTTTCCCCTATGTTATAGGAGGGCCTGACCATGTGAGGACTATGTCATCGTAAACGATGGTAAATATATGGACGTGTACCACTCTCCCCTAGGTTATGTGATGGTCCAACCATGTGAGGACCGAGTCAGTGTCGACAGCGGTAAACAGACGGACGTTCACCACTTTTACCTAGGGTATATGAGGGTCTAACTATCTGAGGTTCCTATGATATGATCAGTGATAGGGTCCATTTATTAGAGGTCGGATCTGTTTCCTAATGCTGGTACACAATGTACAGCTATCGCACTGTTTGGCTTCGCTACTTTCTTTGCAAGAAATTTACTGTCTTCAAACATAACAGTGATTTATATTGATAGAATTGTATTATTTTTTGGAAATTATATGTATGAGAATATCATAACAGAAAGAGGCTATTATAAGAATAAGCTCACATGAGTCAAGATCTGACAAAGGGGTACCCTTGATGTGATATAAAGAGGAAGAAACAAGTAAAACATTGGAACAAAAATTATTGTTTTTTGTTAATATTTTACTTCACAGTGGTTTGTGATATTTTTGAGGTTTTTAAGAAAAACAATATGACGTTCTCCAGAATGGCGTTGTAGAGTTACAAATATGACGTCGAAATAGGTAGTTATTGATACCACTAACAAATAAGACTGATTAGGCAAATTACAATCCTGAATCGATAAGAGTGAGTCCTTATGTAAAATATGTTTATTTCTGAAAAAAATAAAGGAATGTCATTGACTTTACTATAGTAGTAAAAAGGTCTACATAATCTGTACATATCTTACACTGGGCAGGTGTATCGACCACTTTGGCAGAAATATATTGGTCTCGCCCAAAAGTGAGACAAGAGGAAAGCTTCACTGCAAGTAGTTCAAACATAACACTCAACATAAACACACAAGCATAAATAAATATGTGTATGTACATGTAGATGTAACCCTTACATGTTCCGATTGGCCTTGTTTTTTTGAATACATGTATGTCAACTTTTCACAAATTAAAATACAAACCATAATATACCATTTTTCAACCTTGAAAGTTATTTGAGTATTTTTCTCATATTGTTTGACAAGACAACATGCTGAATGTACACCTATATAAAGGTCCTTATTACAGATTGTTGCATATAGGCAAAACAAAAATAAATAAAGGATTTTAAAAAATCAGTTTTCCCAGAACTCAAACACAAAATGCACTTTCATAAATTCTGAAAATTCATCATGTAGGTATTTGGATTTTTGTGTGTAATGTAATACAAAATATAATCCTTTAACAAAGATATATATTCAGCAATGAAAGCATTCTGTAAAGTTCTTTTTTTATTCCATCTTAATTCACAATTTAATTTTTAAAATGTCCACTTTATTTGATACAGATTGGTGAGTTTGTTCCTCTGTGACATCTAGGTCAAAACTAGTCTTAAGTTTAAGTGCAGTAGGCAAGTGGTCCTTGTGAAGCCCACGGACAAATGGACGGATCTGTCTGTACAGGTATCATGCGCGGGATTGTGACAATCCCTGTGGTACCACTGGAATGCTCTTCACTCTCTCTCCACCATCTACTGATGTTATCACCTTTATTATCCATTTGAACAAAATAAACATAAAATTGGAGCAACGGGAGATATTTGTTGGCAGAAATGAGCAGGGGAAGGTAGCTTAGTTAACTGTCAAGTGACAATGTGTTATTTTCTCTAAATTATTTCAGTATGTTAAATACTGCAAAAGAGAAAGCTCTGAAGTATTGAAGTATGACATACATTTTTATTTGATATTTATGAGGTAGCAAGGTAGGATATATCCTCTGTCTGAGTTGAATATTGGCTCCTTTAATATACAACTCCAGCAAAGAATGTTAACCTGTAGATCCCATCTAATCACATAGATACTGTAATACATTACCAATAATTCACCGGCCTCATACAGATATGTGCATACATGTACATGGAAAGGTTGAAGTGAAGCACGGATACCACACAATTAGCAGAATGACTTTGTCCACCATCCTCACCGATTGCCTGGTTCTCCCCAAATACATAGTTGGTAAGACATAATCGTCCATTACAAATGCCAAACCAGTTGGCCTTGTATGGTGATCTGCAATCCTTCTTATCATTTTCTAATTCAGATAATGTTAAAAATATACTGATACTCTTTTTAATTAATGAACATATTTTAGCGCATACAACCACAATTTGTAAGAAATTGAAACAGATATTTTATATATCTAATTTTGGCTCATGACTCAATATCCTTACCGACAGTCATCCTGGTACTTTTTATGTAATGAGGAGAGAGACAGCTGTGCTACTGAACAGGTAAGTATAGCACAGTTGTGAAATTGCACAATGTTACACGATGTGAACACGGTCTGTGGATGATGCGTGCACGAAATGCGCAACATGCATTAGCGAACGATACAAGTGTGGACCACTATAGCTTACGCACATCTGTGCGCACTACGAAAAAGCGGACGACAATAGTGGTTGGTAGGAATAAAGGAATGCATTTAATGATAAACACGATTTCGTAACTGTAGGTTGATCTGTAGGTTTATCTTCATATATATTTAATTCAAAAGTTGTGATTTTAATGGACATAAATTGGTACGTGCATATATATATCACAATATATATATGGGTCAAAGAAGTAATATAGACGGTAAAATCCCATATAACACTGGATCCTTATGGAGGTATGTCCGTAGGATACGAATTATTTAAAATAGTGTATGGGGCAAAGAAGTGATTCCAACAGTGTCACAATATATATATATACAGGTAAACATTTCTGCCTTGTACACGTACCTTGGGAAGAGGATGAGGAGTTTTCGTCATTCTGAACACTAACATTTCTTTCGGATGTGTAAAACTGCTGCAGGTATTATAAACTGAGAAATGATAGATCGTCTCTAACACAATTAACAAACATGATCCGATCAACTCCCTGTCTCCAGCACACCCCATGAAAACCTCCCGGTCACTTATCCAAAAGTTATTTACCTGTTCTGTTACCTAAGAGACAGACCCTATATTTGACAATCTTACATTTATAATACTTCGCATAATACGC